GTTTGAGACGTCAGGCTGGCACCCCGACATCAGGTCAGGGGCAATCAAGTGAGGAATTTTCTGGAAGATTTCTCCTGTGGTGCAGCTTCATTAGCAAGTAGGGCAGCGTTCCTGTTCATGCTTCCCTGGAGTAGGAGCATTTTCAGGGAAGGCGTTTGCTCGAGCAGCCCCAAGCTCACAGCTCTGAGACAGGAGAGCTCATTCCATTGACGCACGTTGTTTCGGGGGCTTGTTCGAGAGCCTTTAATCCCTCCACTGATGCCACTTAAGAGTTTTAAATCAGCTCAAATGTTCATTTGGCATCAGCAGGATATGAACCAGCAGCCCACGGAGTCCTCATCCAGCACCTAAGGAAGATGACAGTCATGCGTGGGCCACGGCAGGGATGGAAGGTGGCAATGCCGTCTGCGTGGCAGCGGAGGACTCGGTGCCGGGGAGCGAGAGATAACCCAGCACCTTCTCGTGTTAGTGACATCACCTCCCCCTGCGTGGGAGCACAGGGTACAAGGGACGGGGGCTGAGAGCCTGCTTGATCTCCTCAGACCTTCCTCATGCTCTGAAGGTGTATTTGTGACACACTCCTTGGGACCTTCCTTAAACCCAACCGCAGTGGCTGTCCCCAGGGGGGAGAGCAGGGGTGACAGTGAGCAAACACATCTGAGCAGGGGGGATGTGATTCAGTTCACCCTCAGGTAGAATCAGTGTTGCCCAGAAAGATGTCACCACTCCATGGGGTGGCCCTACGATGCTGCACCCGCTGCTATGGCCAAGAAGAGGAACTGACTTTGCTTTTACTGTCCCATGGCTTTTGTCCAGGCAAAGATTCACAAACCACCTGGAAACAGTCTCAAGTCAAACCCAACGTTGTTCCAGAAAGGAAATCATCACCCTTTTCCTTGACTTGCTCACCTGTTCCTGGCCAGCAGGGTCAGGGCACTTTTACCACATGGTAAAATTTGAGTTGTGTGGTACTACCAGACAAGACCCAGCTTGATGCAACAGCCCTGCTCACCCAGAGATACTGCTGATGTGCACCCGATCCCTGCCCCCCGGCTCTGAAATTCCACAGGGCAGCAGTTTATTAGCAGTGCTCAGGAGCAGCTGGGCACAGCACCAGAGAGCTCTCGCTAGGGACAGACACCATCAGGCAGGGAGAGCAGATGAGCTTGTTCAGCATCAGCTCCCGTTGCATTTTGAAAATGCAAAGAGAAGAACAATGCAAATACAAACAGTTACTTCCAGCTGAAACTGGAATGATCAAAACAGGTGACAGGGAAGTGGTGGAGTGAAGCAGGCTGGCCTTGGCTGTCAGACACCTTCCTACTGAAGGCAGCCCCCGAGGTGCTGCAGTCACACCACATGCACAGGTTCCTGCCTTGAGCATCCACCCCAAAATCAGACCTACTCTTTTACCCACAATGAAAACATCACAGAATATAATCTACCAGAGCAAGCTGCCCTCTACACTGATCCCAACCATTGCAGTTTGATTGTCCTATGTGAATTAAAACTACAAAGTTTCTTAAATATCTAAACTGTAGGTGGTGGGTGATGCTGCCACTTGCTCCTCTCATTTCCATGGCCAAGATCACTGGTGCCACTCCAGCCAGCAGCAAAGAGCCAGGTGCTCTTGCTGAACCTTGCTCCTCAACGACTTGTCTAAGGGTTGCTCAATCCACACTGCACAAACTCACAACATCAGAGGGTCCCACTGAATCAGCATCCATTGGAGGCTCCTTGCCTGCACTGGGGAACTCACAGGGCAGCTACAAAAAAGATACCCAAAGAAAAAGATGTTGACATTGCAGGAAAGGAGGAGAGAAGACAGCAGCTCCAACCTTGGTAGGACAAGGAGGGTTGTAGTCACAGTGCTGGGCTATCACAGGGCAATCAGGAGGTGATCAGAAGGTGATCAGCAGGTGCCCAGCACAGCCCAGGCACTCTCTAATTGTGCTAGAAAGGCTTTTGTTCTGTTTGCCCAAAAGGCATGCTTCTGGGAACAGCCATCTCAGGCTTTAGATTCTTTCTGCCAGGAATCCTTCTCCTGGTGGAGAAACACAATGTTCAATTGAGAAAGATAAGACCTTGTTGTGTCCAGGGAAATGCTGCCCACCTCTGCTGGAGCTACCACCCTGGGGCCACCAGCAGCACTGGTGAGGGGAGAAAGGAGATCAGCAGGCTCATCTCCACCCCAGACACTCAGCAGAAACCAAGCCAGAAACACTTTCCTGGCTGAGAACTGACACTGAACATCTGCATTTTGGAAGGGTAACAGAGCACAAAGCCCACAACCAGCAGCATCCACAACAGAACTAAATGCAAAGCTGCTGGGACATGAAACAAACTCAGAAGAGGTCAGTGGCATACCAAAGAATAAGCAAAAATCTGATTGTCTGGGTCAGAGAGGGTTACCGCTTTCCAGGTCATGACATGACCCAAGGCTGAGCAGGGTCTGAAGCTGTCCTGGGGAAGAGCAGCTCACTGCATGACCCAGCAGCGTTATAAGCTACGCACCAGTGCCACAATTAAGTCTGAAGAGGTTACTTGAGTTTCTCGGTCAACTTAAATTACCTGAGAGCAGAATTCAGGCCCTGCTCTAAATCCCATTTTAAGCTTCTCGAGTGGGTTTCCAATATGAGATTTGCATTTAATAACAGCCAGAGGTAGGCTCATTCCAATGCACAAATGCACAATGCATTAGAAAAACCCTGGAGGAAAGCACACCCCATAATCTGCCACCCCATAAACAAGCCAGAGGAACGCTCCCCGCTGCACAGGGCAAGGCTCTGGGTTTGAGGTGACCATATGGCTGGTGATGGGCTCCAATCTGGGCCAAGTCTGCCTTATGTAAGTGCCTCCATCTCGGCTGCAGCTGGGTCAGGGACCGATCCCATCGGTGCAGACTCAGGGCTGGCTCCGGCTGGGGATGGAGGGGGAGGCTGCAGAAGGCAGCTGGGTTTTAAGCAAACAGCCCTGGGGTAGGACTGTCCCCTCGGTGTTTGTTATCCCTGCATGTACTATTCTGCAGATATGCGCAGGATGAATTTTCCCCGGAGGGCAGGGGCTGGTTGCATAACTCAGCAGCATCGTGTCAGCACAGAGCGATCGCAGATGGCATCAGCAAATCCCGACCCGACCCTCTGCCAGGCAGCAGAGCTGATCCCAACACCCCGAGGAGACCCACACCTCACCCTGGGGCATGAGGTGGGGTGCCCAGCTCTCACCCCAACACTTCATCACACCCATCTTAAGGGCTCCACATTTCTGCAGATTCATTCCCCCACCCTAATGCCCAGCCCTTGCACTGGGACCCAGCCCCAGGCAGGAGCAGTCGCATCAATTACTTGCACTGAAGATCTTAAAGGTGTTAAATATTGTGTGACAGGGTGTGGAGGGGATGGATGCTCTGTGGAGCAGTTTGGACAAACCAGCAGTGACAGAACCAATAGGCCTTTCCATTTCTACATCCCTGTTTCTCTGCAAACAGCACAAAGCTCACCTGGGCACAGACACAGCGCGGGGACGGGCAGCACAGCGCTTTACACAAGCTCAGGAACCCTCAGGTGGGCAGCAATGAGGGGTTTTGGTGGGTTTTTTTAGCAAAATCTGTCAAAATGCCCCCACCTTCCCCACCACCCTGCTGCTGGAGCCTGGCTCTGGGGAGCAGGCCAGGCACAGAGCCATGGCTGCAAGGCTGAAGGACAGGTGGCTGCTGGCGAGGGGAATCATTTCGTCCCTCTTTGCTCTCTCCTCTCTGTGGTCTGCTCTGGTCCAGCAGGATCTGTGCAGTTCCAGGGCAAGGTGAGGGCTGGGAGCCCAAGCTGCAGTGCCAGCACCTGACACAGGCAGGCTTCCAGAGGTCTCCTGGGACCAGACATGGTCAGGCAGCTCTGCAGGAGCTTGAGAAAGAATCTGGGCTGGGAAAATGTCAGCCTCACCCCTCATCTTCTGTAATTTTTCAGCTTCATTGAAGTGTTTGGCCAGGAGAATCCCTAGTAACAGCTCCTGTTTACAGACAGCTCTGCCAGGCAGGCGACACCTCCCAGTCCTTCAGTGTCACCAGTTAATGATGCTGCCAACTACCCCATGTCCCCGGGGACCCTCCCAGACCATGTGTGACCACCCAGAACTCAGGACCAGGAGGACCTCAGAGTTTGGAACTCTTTAGGAACCAAGCTGGGGGAGAAGGGAGGGGACTCTGCTTGAACAGAGCTGAGCTCAGTCTGAGCACAACAGTTTTGTAAGCTTCCTTCCCAAGCAGATGTCGGACTACAAACCCAGATGCTGGAGACCAAAGCATCCTACTGAGTTTGGGCAACTGCAGTTCACACAAAGGGAAGTCCTGCCCTCAGCAAGGAAACGAAACGAGACAGACCCACGTGCCCTGGAGGTGAAAGCAAAGGAAACAGCTTGCTTTGTGCTGAGATGGACCTGCCACTCCACTCAGTGCCTGCTCCCAGAGCCAGTTGAGCCCTGAGGTGTCCTGCCTGAGTCCCAGGGGAAGGGGGACTGTGCTGGACAGCAAGGTGCTCCCAGCACTGACCACTGAATTTATACCACATAGCAGAGGAGGCAGAACTGGCAGCTCCTTCCCTGCCCCTGGGAGAGGCAGATATACCCAAAGCTCATGTCAGAAGGTGCTTGCAGGTCTCTGCCATGCAGCAGCCTGTCTCAGCCACTGGCCAGGAGCTCTGAGGAGCAGGGCTCCTGCCCAGCCCTCCCAGCTCCACTGGGCCTTTGGGCAGCAGTGGGATGTGCAGCTGCTAATTCAGTTTCCCACCTCTACTTTATTTTTGCAGTAGAATAGGTGGGGGAAAAAAAAAAAAAAACCCCTCAGAAGCAGTACTCTGATGAGTCACTATAGAAATAGCTCTGGGAACATAAAAGACTCTTTTGTGTCATTACAAAGTGCATTATCGGGCTGGTACAGCAGACAGAATAACACAAAAACTGCGGATCACTTACCCAGCTGCAAAGCACAGCAGTGCCCTGCCCTGAATTTAAGCAGCACATGTAACCTGGTCCATTCTGGTTTCAAGCTCAAAGGCATCAGGTCGATCCTGCGGGTTAGCAGCCAACATGTCTTTCAAGAGCTGTTTGATCCCCTCAGACATGGAAGTCCTGCGTTTCTGAGGGATGTGCAGCTCCATCTTTGGGTTTTCTAGCAGCGCTTCCCCAACGGGCACAATCTCAGTCCCCTGCTTGATGTAGGTCCCCAGTAGCTCCTTCTTGGTCTCAGCATCGATGAAAGTTATCCTCTCAATCATGGCCCAGATGATGATACCGAGGGCAAAGATGTCAGCCTTGGCGGTGTAGTGTCCCTCCCAGACCTCGGGTGCCATGTAGAAATCAGAGCCACAAGCCGAGGACAGCCAGTACTTGTTCACATTCACATTTTTGTTCTCGTGTCCACCCTCCTTGCCCCGAGCAGTCAGGCCAGCGCAGACCTTACTCAGCCCAAAGTCGGCCACCTTGAGAACAGGGGTGCCGGATTTCTCGGTTATCAGGATGTTGTCTGGTTTCAGGTCCCGATGGACAATGTGGTTCTTGTGGAGGAAGGCAATGGCACTGGTCAGCTGCAGCATGAAGCTCTTGTTCGTTGCAGGGTTGGGTCTTCGTGACAGGATGTACTGGTTAAGGTCTCCCCCTTCACAGAACTCCATGACGAACCAGAGGTAACAAGGCTCCTCCGCGTAGCCCAGGATCCTCTCACCTAACCAGAAGGGACAAAAGCAAGAGTGGGTTTTTCAGACACATTATAAAATGTCCACGTTAACCCAGCACGGGCAAGGAATGGGTCTGGCTTACACAGATGGTAAAGCCTTATGAATGTGACAGGGACCTATCACAGTGCAGGGTACCAGCAGCGATGCTGGCACTGCTGTGGCTTCAAGTGCTTTAGGATCCTGCTGAGTGTCACACACCAGCACCACGTTTATCTGAGCCCATCACTTGGGAGCCAGCTCAGGGACCTGTTCCCAGCAGAGTACAGGCATCCAAGTGAGATCAAGCATGTGTCTTCTCAGGTATTGCAGGGAACTTGGAAGCAGAGGGTTATTTTCCTGCACTACCATCAGGAAATTCACCCCAGGCTCTGAAAGCCGATGCAGCAGAAACTAAAAGCACAATTAGCAGCAAGTTTACATTAAAAATAATAATTTTTAAAAAAGCAGTCCTAGATGAACAGCAGCTCTCCCACCAGAGCTCTGCCACAGGAGGCAAAGGCTGGCTCATACCTTCTGCTTTACCACTACAACTGCAAGTGGGGAGTAAATCGCAGCCCTTAGCGCTGTGCCAGTGCAGCCTGGCTGATAGTCACACCAGTGTCAAAGCCTTGTGGCACAACTGCTCTTCTTAGCCTCAAATCTGTGTGTTTAAGTGTCATGTTTGTGCTGGGGGAGCCACTTCATACAGCTTTCATTAAATGCCAACAAGTCTTTAAAGAGAAGAAACTGGAGGCCCGAATAGCTAACGATGTTTAAGTACAATCTCAGCTACAATTATGAATCTGTTGCCTTGCTCGTTAGTGCTGCTGCTCAGTATTACGCCCCTAACAGCTTCTTCCTTCATCAGACATCTGGTTGAACTCTTCAAGCTCAGAGCATCTCAGGTCCCATTCATTGCCTCTGGGTTTTACTCCACAAACCCTCTGCCAAGGCAAACCACCCACTTACACATAAGCTAGACACATGGAGAAACACCACAGCATCCCATCAGCTAACAGGGCTGGCAGCAGACTCAGCTCTGTTAGCTGATGCCAGGATGCAAACCCCACTGCCCAGACCCCAGGTCACCAGCACAGAACAACCCAGGTGACAGGCAGAGTCTGCACACACAACCGGGGCATCATTCTGCTCTAGGAACCAGGGGTTTTTTTACCCTCAAGCATTTAGGTTGCCCAAGGAAGTTGTAGATGCCCCCTCCCTGGAAGTGTTCAAGGCCAGGTTGGATGAGGCTTTGAGCAACCTGGTCTAGTGAAAGGTGTCCCTGCTGCTGGCAGGGGGGTTGGAACTGGATGAGCTTTAAGGTCCCTTCCAACCCAAACTATTCTATGATTCTATGATAAGAGAGAAGCTGAAGGACACCACTCACCTCTGCCACAGTTACCAAGTCACACAGATGAACCCGAGTGTTTTGGAAATAGTTAAAGGACTCCACCCATTTGACAAAGTTGGGTTTTGTTTTAGCAAAGCCCTAGAGAGCATCTGGGAAAGCAAAACTTCCAGCAGCAGGTAAAGCCAAGGACTACCAGGGACACCAAGCCCTGGGCTGCAATGGTCAGTGATCGGTGTGGGTGGGAATATTGGTTATTTGCACAAACAGTCCGTATCCAGGGCTGCTGCTATGGAAATGAGAGTCTGCACAACACAAGGATTTGGCTGCACCTCCCTGCCCTCCCCAGAAGATGAAGGTTAGGTCAGGGGGATGGGAGGGATTGGGAGCAGGCTGGAGATAGAGGGCACTGGGTGCACTTTGAGGGGCCAAATGAGACCTCAAAGTGGTGGAGGGGAGCTCAGCACATGAGCCCAAGGGCCAGCTGGGAGCAGCACAGGACAACTTGGCTCTAGAGACCAAAATGCTGACCAGGAAAAGCAGCTTCTGCGATGCGAGTCACCCCTTGGTGAGACAAGCATGACAGCATGGAAAACGAAGCACAGGACACTCATCCTGGGAGCAGAGACCTTTGCACAGCCAGGACAGCCCCAGGTCACATCACTGCCACCACCTTGGGTTTGCTAAACCCCAGTGATGTCGCAGCAGGACACGGGGCTTTGCTTTCCTGCTCCCCTCAGCATCCACAAAGCCCCAAGGTGGGGAGCAGCAGGGTTTGGCTCTTCTCAGCCAGGAACCACACCACAATGGGGAGCACAGCAGAGCCCCACACCCATCACACAGGGCCAGGAGCATCAGGCCAGGGCACACAGGTGGGAGGGCGAGAGCATTCACACGGCAGCGCTGCCAACAGCCCCTTCCCACAGGGAAGCAGCTCAAACACCAGCTCACCAGCAGCAGGGACCCGCTGGCTCTGACAAGCCAAGGTTTGTTCTTAGTATAACGAAGGTTCTGACTTAAAACTTGTGTCCAGAATCTTTAGGAGCACAAGGAGGACGCTGCTGACCCTGCAGTAGCTGCACACACCACACACTTCACTTTGGGTGGAGCGCTGCTGGGAGAGGTTTAAGCCAAGAGTAATATTTCCTCATTTTCTTTCTATAATCTCAAAGTGTTTTAGTTGTTAAATCATCTTCCTGCCTTCAAAACAAACAGCTTTAAACATAAAGAGCTGGCAAGCTGCTTCCTAAGGATGAGATGTTAGCAAAGTGAAGTCAAGCAGCCAAGAGCTGAAGAGATGCAGACGATGGGCCAGACCTGTTCCCATTGCAGAGCGAGCATCCCCGTGTGCTCCCTGCCCAAACACAGGATGGCACACGCCAACCTCTCCATCCTCACAGCAGCCCTCCCACGACCTATCCTGGGAGCTCGTTAACAGCTTGTTAATTTGCTTAGCATCACAGAGAAGGAAAAAAAAATAATAATCTAATGACAACAGAAGCAGCATCCCACTCCTCAGGGCTGCATGTAACCTCTGACTCCCTCTGAGCACAGATGCTGCGCCAGAGAGGCGAGAGCTGGCGGCACGAAGCCCGGGGGCTTGGAGTGATGGTGACGTGCGTGGGCCAGGCCAGGGCAGCCCACGGGTGAGGCTGAGCACTGGTGGCAAGTTGGTGGCCCCAGGGGTGACGTGCTAGGAGGCAACACCTTATACCTGTTCATTTAATAAGGCAGCTCTATCACTGCTCTGGGTGAGGAACAACAAGAGGGGCACATGGCCGTGCCCAAGCGCTGACGGTGCACATGTGTCACCGAGCACACGGCTCAAGTGCTTCCTTTGTGCCCTCTGCCCTTAAATTTATTATTCCACATCTTATTAAAACGATGAAGGGCTGATGAAGTCGTAGCTGAGACCCAACATCACCCGGCATCCCGACAGTTGTGCTCCCAATTCAGAACGTCCCCTGATTAATCCCCTCCCGTGCTCTGAGCCCGGCACGTTGGCACAGCAGCATCTGTGCAGGACCGTAAATAGCCCGGCTGCGGTCGTGCAGACTGGCATGGCAGGGCAGCGCGGCACCACGGCTACGTGCCGGCCACCCCGGCCCCAGCAACGGCACAGCAGCACCACGCACACAGCTCGTGTGCTGCCGACGGGGAAGGAGAGCAGGCAGAGCTGGGAGGTCACCCAGCTCAGGCTTTTGATTTGAAAATATTCCTTGGTGCCATTATCAGAGCCAAAGCTTGGGAAGCAGCAAGCACAGCCTCTGCCCAAGCCTGCTGCCAGCAGATAATAAGGCCAGGAGGGCAGGTGGGGGGAAGGGAGATGGAGGGGAGAATGAATATGCTCTGGTTTGGGGGAGTGAAACTGCTGCTCTCCAGCCTTGGGATGGACAGCCCAGCTCTGCTCCCCTCATCAGAGGGACACAGCAGGACTGGGGCAGGCAAAGCCCTCCCCATGGCAGGGAAGTTGGGGAGCACTCTCCCCACCTAGAGCTACCCAAGAGCTTTCCCTGAGCCGTGCCACCTCTGCTTGGGGTGTGTGCAACATGGCAAAGGGGGGGCAGGAAACCCCAACACCTGCCAGAAAGAGCTTGACCTGCTCCAGCTGGACACGCAGCCAGCAAAGGGACGAGCTGGCTCCTTTCCCGGGCAGCCGTGCCTGCGAGGGAAGCACCCAGGCTACACAGAAATTAGGACACTGCCCTCCTGGCAGGGCATCCCTTGGGTGGCTGCATGGGGAGTGTGAAGGGAGAAAGGGATCAGGGATGTATGGAGGGGAGGCAGGCAGGTCTGGACATGTCCCCCCAGGAGTGCAGAGGGGACAGGCAGGGCAGGGACACTCTGAGAGCCAGATGTCTGCCCAGAGGATGGGTCTCAGCAGCCTTGTCTGTGCCCAGCACAGGGTTTGGAGGCTGCCTGAGTTGGGGGGCTCAGCTGGTGGGGCATGGGGAGACCAAGCTCCCTGAGGAGCGTGTGGGAACCCCAGCACACAAGTTTGGGGACGAGGAGGTTGGGTGGGCTGGCTCTGGCTGTGACAGGCTGGGGGGCACAGGGGCAACAAGGATCCAGTATTTTTCCACATCTTCACTGCCCTTTGGCAGAGCTGAGGCTGCCAAGCAGCCAAGGGAGCAGAGGGAGGGAGGGAACATTTCAGAGATGTCACCATCAGACATCAACTGTAGCAAGAGAAGGTGACCCCTGACAGCCCCATGATGCTGTGAGGGACCCCAGGGGAAGATGGGGGTGTCAGCCCAGGCTACAGGCACTGGTGCTTCCAGGGCTGTCCCCACAGAGCCAGCACTGCAGGGGGCACAGGGACAGGAGAGCACAAAGAATGGTCCCAAAGCTGCAAGAGCTCGCGGGAACAGGCAGGGCACCAGAACGGGCTGCAGCCTTGGGGTGCTCAGAGAAGGTGGGATGGTGCATCCCATCTTCATCCCTGCTGTGACTGGGGCAGGGATGGCTGAAGGTCCCCAGGGGACACACATGGGCTGTGGTGCAGGTCAGGGTAACAGAGAGAACCCCAGGAGGGGGGTGTAATGGAGGAGGAGGAAAGCCCTGGCAGGTGGGACATGGAAGGGCTGAGGGCAGTGCACAGGGATGCTCCTCAGGGCTGGGTCTTCTGATCCTGGAGGTGACAATGGTGTCCCTC